CCCCTGGGGAAACCCGGCGCCTCTGGCCTCTCCCTGTCCCTTCCCTCCCGGCTGCCGCAGCGCCGTGACCGCGCCCGCCTGCGCTTGGTGTTGCAGGGAGAAGGAGCGTTACCTCAACCTGATGTTCGACCCGCGGGTGGTGCGTGGCAACACTTACGCCCTTCGAGTCGCGCCTGTGGTAGGTCCTTGTGTAGATCGTGTTCACAGCTTCGTTCAAATGTAGGAGATAGGGCGGGAAATCTGCTCCTCATTAATATTTTAACTACCGAAGTTGTACTTTCACTTAAAATATTCCACACAGTCACAGGCTCTGCAGTTAAACAAGCTTGTGACTGTTTTCAGCCTTCCTTTCCTTGGAACTTCTGTAGTTCTGATTTATTTTTTCCCCAGTAAGGACTTGCTTCTGTCCACCCCCCACACTCCCCACTTCTTTAGTTTAACGATACTGAGCACAAGTTATTGCTGCATCATCACGTGTTACTGTGTGCATCCATAGGTGTCATCAGTGGGAACAGCAGCTCTTGGGAAATTAAACCTGGGGGTAGGCTTGGGCTTACTCTATAGAAGCGGAGCTAGGTGAGCCAACTGTGTGCAAAAGCTGCTTGTGTGGAGGCAGGAGTATTTTATTTATCCAGGAGGAGATGGTCAGTGACCTGCTACACCACGTAGATGTGCACAAATCCATGGGGCCGGGTGGGATGCACCCAAGAGTGCTGAAAGAGCTGGTGGGGGTGCTCACCAAGCCACTTTCCATCATTTATCAGCAGTACTGGCTGACTGGGGAGGTACCAGCAGATTGGAAGTTAGCCAATGTTACCCCCAATATATAAGAAGGGATGGAAGGATGATACGGGAAGTTACAGGCCTGTTAGTCTGACTTCAGTACTGGGAAAGCTGATGGAGCAGATAATCCTGGGTACTATTACATGGTACATGCAGAACAACCAGGTGATCAGGCCCAGTCAGCATGGGTACATGAAGGGCAGGTCCTGTTTGACTAACCTCATCTCCTTCTATGACAGGGTCATTCTCCTAGAGAAACTGGCTTCTCATGGCTTGGATGGGCACACACTTCACTGGATAAAAAACTGATTTGATGCCTGGGCCCAAAGAGTTGTGGTCAGTGGAGTTAAATCCAGTTGGCAGCCAGTCACGAGTGGTGTTCCCCAGGGCTCAGTGCTGGGGCTGCTCCTGTTCAACATCTTTGTTGATTATTTGGATGAGGGCATAGAGTGCACTCTCAGTAAGTTTGCAGGGGACACTAAGTTGGGTGGGAGTGTCAGTCTGGTTGAGAGTAGGGAGGCTCTGCAGAGGGATCTGGACAGGCTTGATCAATGGGTTGAGTGAGGCCAATGGCATGAGTTTCAATAAGGCCAAATGTCAGGTACTGCACTTCGGCCACAACAACCCCTGGCAGTGCTACAGGCTTGGGGAGGAGTGGCTGGAGAGCTGTCCAGCAGAGAGGGACCTGGAGGTGTGGGTTGACAACTGGCTGAACATGAGCCAGCAGTGTGCCCAGGTGGCCAAGAAGGCCAACACCATCCTGGCCTGTGTAAGGAGCAGTGTGGTCAGCAGGACCAGGGGCGTGATCCTGCCCCTCTACTCAGCCTTGGTGAGGCCACATCTTGAGCTCTGTGTGCAGTTTTGGGCACTGTAGTACAAGAAGGACACTGAGCTGCTGGAGAGGGTGCAGGGAAGGGCAGCTAGGCTGATTAGAGGTCTGGAGAACAGGTTTTATGAGGAGAGGCTGAGGGAGCTGGGGCTGTTAAGCCCGGAGAAGAGAAGGCTGAGGGTAGACCTCATTGCTCTCTACAGCTACCTGAAGGGAGGTTGTAGTGAGGCAGGTCTTGGCCTCTTCTCCCTAATGGCTAGTGATAGGAGAAAAGGAAATGGGGTCACGTTGCACCAGGGGAGGTTCAGATTGAATATTAGGAAAAATGTGTACACTGAAAGAGGCATTAGAACAGGCTGCCCAGGGAGGGGGTGGAGGCACTGTCTGTGGAGGTGCTCAAAAAACGTGTGGACATGGTGTTTCAGGGGATAGTTTAGAGGTTAGGGATTGTAGGGCAGATGGTTGGACTTGATGATCTTGAAGGTTTTTTCTAACCTTGATGATTCAATGATTCTAAGAAGTTTGAAAATTATGTTCATTTCAGCCCACAAACACAGGATGGAATTTAAAAGTTAGTATAGGTTTCTTTTGCTTCAGCAGCAATAAATAAGCTATAGTTTTTATCTAGCAACCAGTTCTGTTGATAACATGATCACTGCACTTAAGTCCATTTGACCTTCTTAAAGCTTTAGGTAGAAACTCTCACTTGTCAGCAAGAACATGCCATTTAAATATACTTTATCTTGCAAAGTTCTGTATGCAATAACCACTTCCCAAGAGCACCTAGTTGCTCTTAGTGTGAGATGCCATTTGTAGGCATCTCTAGGTAAGGGAGAATTTAGGGTCAGGGCCCACAAAAGTAAATCTGAAACGCCAGATTTGTAGTATTAAAATCAAACAACAACCTTCAGTTTCTTGGATAGAGAAATCAGTATAATTTCCAAGTACAAAGGGTATTCTGTTTCGTGGGTATTTTTTCTTCTTCATCCCTGCTCAGAGTACCGAGCCCGATCCCCTTGAGATTCGAAGGCGGAGGGAAGCACGGAAGAGAGCACTGGCTAGAAGGCGTGCAAAGGAGCAACTGGCAATAAGAACACCTGAGCCTGTGGAAGGCAGAGAGCACGTTGAGGTGCAGACAGGTAAAAGGCTGGCTTTCTTTTTAATTCCCCTGAAAACAAAAACTTGCTGATTTATATTCACTTACTAAATTGATGATAGAGTTGGTAGGATCACATAAGGTTAAAGTTGGAATCGTAGAATTCTAAAATCAGAGGTTTTCTAATCCTTTCTGTTATAAACCCCTATTTTTAGTTGTATTTCATAACTTTGGGTAATTAGTGACATTTTCCAAGAGGCTCCATTTTTTTAGTTTTCACTGAACACTAGTCAAAACTTCTTCGTTTATTCTTTCCTTTTCCAGTGACATCAGAGAAGTCTGGTGTATGCTTAAAATTGAGGGAATTAAAAAAAATTTTGCTTAAGGGTGCAGTCTCATGTAAGAATAAGACTACTGCTAAAAACTGGGGTGGGACATCCTAATTTAGACTAGCAAACTTCCCTATTTGTGGAATAACAATTTTATTTGGAGGAAAACCAAAATTTAGCAGTGGAGTAATCATGTATGAAAATAATTTCAGATTGGACTGACTTAGAAACTGAGAAAACAGCTGAGTTATATGCTAATCAGACATGGTCTTTGATTTCTGAGTGTTCCTTCTGCCTCAGCCCTTCTGTACCTCCTACACCACCTCCAATACACACAGCATCTTTTCACCATTCAAGTACTGTTGAATGCAAAAGGAGCATGAAAGTCTTGGGCTTGCATCCTTCCCACTGACCAATGCAGGTAATTTTAAGTACTCCACACACCTGACATGTTACAGAGAACGTACCATCAGATGGCCTGTGTAACTAACTGGTCTGTATTTGAAGTTCAAGTGTCTTTTTTTTTTTTTTTTACTTTATAGAAGACAGTGTATTGCACTCTTTGGTCGACATAATTCACCTTGCAGAATCATAAAAAATAATCAAACTTATAGCAATCATTGTGCTTTTTTTTCTAGACCGGTATTTGGAAGAGATTAGTGACCAGATAATAGAGGTTGATAGAGAGTGTCAAACGGATGAATTTTTGGATAGACCACCCACTCCACTCTTCATACCAGCCAAATCAGGAAAAGATGTGGCCACAGAAATAGGAGAAGGAGAGGTATGAAGCTAAGTCAGGTCTGCAAGTGCTGTCAAAGCATGTTTCCCATACAAAACATGTTTCTGATGCAAAATTGAGGCAGAAACAGAAAGGACCTTAACCTCACAGCAGACATTGAGGACTTTTTTTTTTTTTTTTAAATGTTATGTGAAGATAAGTGCACCATTAAGGAGGGTGCTTCTCCATGTGCACTGTTCTGCTGCTTTCAGCTATGATGAACTACGATGTTGAGAAATGCTCTCCTCTGTAGAAATAGTGCCCAGCCCAGGAAGGGGTTGGGGACAGAGAAGTGGACAGAAATAGGGTCCAGGTGAGTGCTCTGCTTCTCCCTGGCAGCACCCACAGCAGCTGTGGTCGGGTACGTGGTGTGTCATTCAGCCCACCCATCTCTTAGCCCCCAGCCCCATTCATGCTTCTTGCCTTAGCCAACACTAGCTTTAGCTGACCCCGCCACCTGCACTTTCCAGTCCTGCCTTCAGCACAAGAGCTTTGTTAATCTGCATTTTCTCAGTGCCAAAATCTTGAGAGTGATTGTGATTAAGGGCCATTTATCTCTGTTTCCCTGATTCCCATCCTCAGCTGTTTGATTTTGACATTGAAGTCAAGCCAATCCTGGAAGTGTTGGTTGGGAAAACAATTGAGCAAGCTTTGCTGGAAGTGATGGAGGAAGAAGAGCTGGCCCAGCTGAGGGCACATCAACGTGCCTATGCAGAGCTGCGGAACGCAGAGCTTGCTGAAGTACAGCGCCTGGAAGAGCAGGACAGGAGATACAGAGAGGAGAAGGTAGGACTTCCTAAGAGTAGAGCAGGCCTGGCTGAATGCTTATTAGAAGAAAGAAAACCATTTCCAGTACTACTGGATGAGAAGCCGTGAAAAAAGCTGGATGTGCCCAAAAGGGTATTGTAAAGTTTGAAATGCCTCAAAGCATCTTGGTACCATATAGCTGCTCTCTGCCATCAGCTTTCATGCACCAGCACCATGCTGTTAGGTTTATTTGGAGCTGTCATGCTCCAGTGACCTGGTGTATTCAAACACCTGATGGAGAGGCCAAAAGCAACAAAACAACTTTTGTAGCTGGTTAAGCGTTTTCATTATAGTAACTGCTAAGTGACTAGTTGCAGAGCTTGAAAATAAGAGAGGCACCTCCTAGACATTCACACGCAATGCATGCACCTACTGCATGTGCACACATACCTCTCAAGATCTCCCAGTGTACAATACTGCATTAGTACTATCTAGTAAAATAGAAAGGGCAACTCTGAATTACTACATTTCATCAGCCTTGTATACCTGGGTTGTTTTTTTTCCCGTGTTTTCTTGAACCAATTTGAGTTCTAATATTTAATTACATCAAACAGGATATAAAATTGGAAAGATGAAAAGGTCAGGAAATCCTGACCCAGCTTCAGCTAATTCCAAGGCCTGTGATCAGCTTTATCTGCAATAATAAAGCAAAGAGTCATGAGATCAGTGCATACTAAGGTATCAGAGAAGTACTTAATTTGGCCAGCTACAAGGCCCTTATTTTACAGCTTGCCAAATTCAGAAAATGTATACCAGAGGGACACATTTCTTCTGCTCCTTGTAGATGGAGTACAAGCTTCCTTTCAAACACTTGTTTACATGAGAAGTTTTTTTGTGAAAATCTGAGCCATGTTGTATCAGTACTCTTGATTAGCTTTGATATTTATGACTCTCACACTGATGCTTTTTCGAAGTCTAAATCAAAGGAGTAACAGCTAAAGGCCTGAAAGTTTTACGTGCAATATTGTCTTGACAGGAACGTCGCAAACTCCAGCACATGCAAATGCTGCAGAAACAGAAAGAGACCACGGAGAAAATTGCAGCTCGGGCATTCACTAAGCATTACCTGTCTGATCTCGTTCCCTCTGTTTTAAACAATCTTCGTGAGAGTGGGTTTTTCTATGATCCTATACAAAGAGGTTGGTATTATAATTTTTTTAAAATATGTGAACTGAGTAATGTAAAGGTCAAATCAAACATAAGTCATACTTTATTGTCCAGTGATTTAGAATAATGTCACAAGACTTTATTTATTTATATTTGTGGCTGAAGAGAGAGTTTCCAAACTCAAATTTTTAAAACAAAATGATTGGTCATGTGTACAAGTAGTCAAGAATAAGAGAAAGCTGACAGTGTTAAAATGAGAAGACCTGCTTTTGAACTGGAGATAAATAAATGGGTGGTTAGGACTGGTAGCACAGAGAGAGAGCTTCAAATTGAAGTAAATGTATTTTGATAGGACAGGCAAAGAAATCTTTGTCATTCTGAATCTTTGTCAATGGTTACCAGAGCAATGGAGAAATTAGTCAATTAGGCCCTGAAAATAATATCAGAGCTATAAATTGGTGACTTCCAAGCTTTTAGAATCAGCAGCATTTCTTGTAGGTTACCTTGCTGCACCCCACGTCCCCAGGCCCTGCACAGGTGCCTAGACCACAGCTTGGGAATGGATAAACTCTCTCCAGAATGAATCATGAGGCAAATGCAGAAACTGAGTGTATTGTGCAAACAGGGCAAGCTTTGGGACCATGGAGTACAGAAAGCATGATTTGAGAATGACATGGGTAAGCAAGAGCTCTTTAGTCAGAGGGAGCAAATGCTTCCAGCAGACCAGGAGCCAGACGTCTTTGGAAAGCAAGGCAGGAAATGTTATTCTCCTGACTTTTTTCAGGATAGTTATTTTCATCTCACTGGAACATTACTGTGTATCTCATCTGTGCTAACCCCTCGAGGGTGCCAGACGTTTTTAAAAATCACTGCAGTTAAGAGGACTCTGCTTTGGGTCCATTAACAATGAGGAATCTCAGTGAGGTAGGAGATAAGAAACCCAACAACACCTGAGAGATTTCTTCTGGCTCTTGCAAACCAAGTGTCTTTTGGCAAGGATGTTCGTCCTTGATGATTGTAGCAAATGAAAAACAGGCCCAAGATCCTGCCTCTCATCCTTAATAAAATGACATTTTTTTCCTTCTTTCTTCCTTCCTTCTAAATGCTTACAGATATTGACACAGAATTTTTCCCATGGCTGATGACAGAAGTGGAAGAAACACTAGAGAAAAGGGTTCTGGGGAGGACAATGCTTGACTGTAAGTTATCAAATCCTGGAATGTCATCTGGGCTACTTGATGTTTATGATTGTGTCATTTATCAAGAACTCCAGGTACCCATGGCTTTTGGTGCTTGTTTGGGTTTTTTACTATATTAAAACATTGTTAGTGTTGGAAAACAACTACTACAAACATCTAGGTAATTGGTTTTCAGCTGAAATAATAGAATTGTCAGTCATGCTGTGCTACCCTCTCTCTGCTGGCTTTATACTGTTTGAGATGTGTTGATGCTGGGAGATCTGAGACATTTGACAGGAGCAGAATGGTTTAACAACACCAATTATTTTCTTTGCTGTAAAACTTTTATTTCTCATGTGTTAGGCAGCCATCATTGCTGTGCTGTTCTCTGAAGTGTGCTTGATTGTGCCAGTGGGAAAAGAAAAGTCCATCTGTCTACAGCCACCAGTATATCATAAAAGTCTCTTGTTTGTGTAAGCTCCCTGAGCTGTGGAGTAATATGTTCATCTTCCATGAAAAGACAAGAGAAGGGTGTTTGTAGTCCATGGTTGACTGAGAAGTCAGGTGACCAACACTTTTCATCAAAACAAGGGTTTACCTCCTCAGCAGTCAATAACTGTGTCCTTGCTTTTGAAATAGATTAAAAGGTCAGTCTTCTCTTGGGCTAGTTCAAGCTCAGTATTCAGTTCTTTTATTAGTCAGTCCTCAGAGGCTGTAGTCGAAATACTTGGACAACCTAAACTCTGTCTTGTGTGGAAACAGAATTATGATTAACATGTGTCCACCGTGGTGGTCCTGGATCAAACGGGTTGTGTTACATCTTTCATTTGTATGGTTTTCCTCCTGCTGTGATTTTGGGTTTGAGTTACAATTGGGTTTGTTTCCTTTGGGTGTATTTTCAGTTTAACCAGGATTCTTTATTAGGGTATAATTTGGATAGTTACAGCTGGTCTGTTAGGTATTTTATCCTATGGCCTTTGTGCTGGTATGTACACTCAAGGATCACTTCATGTAGGTCTTCAGAAGGAAGGGAATTTTCTCTCATTTTAAGAAAGAAGTAGTGTATGTGACTACTGAAAAATCATCCCAAAGAGAATGTTGCTGCAGGATACACCATTGGTGACAATGTCTGTCATATTAGAGTGCAAGCCTTATGAGGAGTGTCTGAAGGAGCTGGGGTTGTTCACCTGGAGAAGAGGAGGCTGAGGGGGCACCTGGCTACTCTCTATAACTACCTGAAAGGAGGTTGTAGTGAGGTGGGGGTTGCTCTCTTCTCCCAGGTAATATAGTACAAAAGGAAAGGGGGTCAAGTTGCACCAGGGGAGGTTTAGATCAGATATTAGAAAAAATTTCTTCACTGAAAGCATAATCAAACACTGGAACAGGATGCCCAAGGAGGTGACTCAATCACCATCCCTGGAGGTGTCTTGTAGATGTGGTGCTTAGAGACATGGTTTAAGCACTGGTCTTGGTAGAGTTAATGGTTGGTAGAGTTAGGTTATGGTTGGACTCAATCTTTAAGGTCTTTTCCAACCAAAAACATTCTGTGATATTCCTGTTAAGTCTTTGTGTTTAATATTTTAACCAGATATTGTCGTCTTGCACCAGTTCTAAGATACACAAAGCAGCTGAAGCAGACCAATAAGTAATACCTGAGTAATACCAGCAGCCCCTGTTTCATTTACCCTCTGCATTTTCTGACTTATAACAAATCACCAACTGTTGAGTAAACATCATCTCTGCAAAAGGAACTGCAAATTAGATTTGCCAAGTTTTGTAGAGGCAGACAGCCTCACTGAGACAGTTTGTGGCTTCTTCCCCACTTTACACAGAAGCATAGGAAAAATCTGCGAGTATCTATTTTTAACATTTTTTAATTAATACTTTACTTATTTTGTCACTGTCCAATAAAAGAGCTGTGAACTAGAAGGGAAGCACGCACAGTTTAAGGGGGCTCTGTTTGTCCTCTCAGAGATGACCATTCCTTCTTTTACTTGGCCAAGTCAACCCATGAATTAGCAATCAAACTCTCTTTAGTACCTGTACATTGTCCATTTTTTCTGTGTTACACCTCTCTTTATTCATTGTTGGCCTCTATTTTTCATATTTAGATGATGCAAATCAAATTGAGTGTTGAATTTTTTTCTTGTGTTCTTTGATTTGGGAGAGGCATCATGTTTAGAAAAATTTATGAAGGCTAAACAGCCAAAATAATAAAGAATAGGCGCTCTATAGCTGCTTTTCAGAAGGAGAAAATCCTTTGATGACTCTCATAATTCAAATATTTCCCACTGCCAAAACCATCAATTGGTGTGCAGCCTGGCTAGTCCCTGTTCCTCATGGGCTGACCCCCTCCAAGACTGAGGAACTACTGTGAGGAGATGAACAAAACAATCCAGGTAAACCTTTTCAAATGTCTGCTTTCAGTGTCAACTGCTCGTTTGGCTGGAACCAGGCTACAGCAGCAGGGATGTTTTTTCTCATTCAGATATTCTTTTCAGTGTTATTTTCGGTATTTTTCATGGTTTAAGAAATTATAATCCAATAATATATAAAATAATCTCAAATTATAAGCTTTTCCCTCCATGTTTGTTAATGATGACTTTCTGTGTTTCAGCCTTGATTCGTACAGTGGTTGAAAAACGCTTAGATGCATTTAGCCATAAACCTCTGCCTGAGAAGACAGAGGCACCTGTTGAGAAGACAGAGGCACCTGCTGAGAAGACAGAGGCACCTGCTGAAGAGCCCAAGCCAACAGATACAGAACCCCAGGTGGCTGGTAAGACAGATGAGGCTGACCAAGCAGTCACAGAGGAAAAAGAGATTGACCAACCTGTTTCTGAGGACCAGCCTTCACAACAGATCTCTTTCCAGTCTGAAGAAGCAGATCAAGCAGAAACAGAGGATTTGAAAACTGAGTAACCAGCAGGCAAGTCATCAAGTACAGGGAGATGAATGGCTTAGCTGAAAGAAGAAAGGAATTCCTCTCTATTTACAAGTATTGTGCCCTAGCCATGCTGAAGGATGAACCTAAGCAAAGGTAAACCATTAAAGTATGTTTTCCATATGTGGACATTGCTCATTTCAGGCTGTAAGAATCAAGAGAGAGGTTACTAGTGCATTGAATGGCAATGAAATTCTATCCCCTTCTGCACAATCCAATCCATCAAAAACCTGGGATGTTCATAGTTGAAAAATAATACTGTTCCACGCCCTGTGCTAGAAGGTCAACAGAAGGACACTGAGAGTATCCTAATAAGCTTTGCAAGTGCTTTGATAACTTTGATAACAGAGTTTCCTTACTTTCCCTATTTGGGAAGATAGCTGCTTCAGCACATAGATACATTTCTTTTCACTCATGTTAGTCTCTCCTTTCCTGGCAAACATGGATGGGCATCTCAGCAGGTATCAGAGCAAAGGCTGTTATTCCTGAAGTTCTTCACGTTCAAAGATTTATCTGCCACTGGAAATTTCTGCCAGTGCAAAATCCTTATCCTTCTGACTCCAAGAGCGGTGGTAAAGGGCTGAAGCCACACCCTGAGTCTCAGTTTTCTTCATAATTGTCCTTTCCCACTGGTTCACTAGAAGTGGTACCAGACATGACTGACAAAACACAGCTGAACTGCACATGTATCTGTCAGTTTACAGGCCAATTCCACAAGTGGGCCATTCTCCTTCATAAAGTATATCTGCACTACTCCTGTTTTTTATTTGATTGCTAGAAATTTTACTTGAAGTGTCGAATTATTCTGTTTAAATAGGTTGTGGCATTATGTTTTCTTAAATTATTATTAAAAAAAATGAATTGCATGTCCTGCTTTTTTATTTCATTAGAATGTATAGATACAAGTCAAGCATTGTATATTGCATTGTGGTAGAGTTTGCTGTAACAGGTTGTTTTTATGGGGCCATGCAGGCGTGAAGCTTTATACTGCCCTGGCAGTTTTCCATTAATAGCCCTTGAATTCAGCCCCAGACACGGGCAGGGTGGCAGAGGAGGTGACCCCTTGCATCCTGTCAGACACTGGAGAAGTGGAAAACCTTGAGCAACAATAAGAAGGGGAAAAGGGAAACGGGGTCCAGCCGGCCTCGGTACAAACACCACATCTCTTACACCACCTCTCCACAGGGACCCCTCCGGACGCCCTTTTCCTCAATTTCCCATTTCTCTGGGCTGTGTCACCAGCAGCAGCTGTCCCCGGCAGGTGGGTAAGGCCGCCGAGTGGCCAGCTCTGCACCTTCGGTGGCCCGGGGGGGCCCGGGGGTTTTGGGGAGGGGACAGAGGGAGAGGGGAGGGGACAGAGGGAGGTGGCGCTGCCGGCACTAGAGGGCAGGACAGCCCAGAGCAATCCTGCCGAGGAGGGACAGGCAGACACCGGTGTGACACAGGGCACATCGCACACCCTGCAACACTGACACCCGCCTGGACTTCCCCCGCTGATAAACCCCAAAGGCGTCGAGCTTTTGCAAAATCTACTCGTAGCATGAGCAACCAACACCTGGGGTCACCCTACACTGTGCACACTAAGATCATAGACTCATAGTTGGAAGGGACCTTTTAAGATCATCTAGTACCAACCCCCTCTGCCATCGGCAGGGACACCTCCCTCAAGACCAGGTTGCTCGAAGTGCTGGTCAACATGGCCTTGAACACATTTAGTGATGGGGCACACACAGCTTCTCTGTGCAACCTGGTTTTCAAGGCTTTCTAACTGCAGCAGTTAAGTATTTCCATACCATCAACCCATCTCTGGGCTGACCTGTCCAGAATAAATTTCAGCAGAGCTGTTTCAGCCTGTTCTTTGAATGAGATTGGAGGAAAGATGCATTTCCCTGCCTATATTCAACCATCTTTTCAGATGATAAGCAATTCCATAAGCAGCTCAACATATCTGTGTGCTCGAACCAGAGCGTAGGCTTCTGGCTGCTTTCTCTGCACGCAAAGTTCATTTTAGCATTGAACTGCATCCAAAGGACCACCTGTAGCATGGAGGAGTTGAGCTGGTACCTCTCCTAGTCCTGTCCAGGCTGAATACCTGTTAGTAAAGGCCTCAAACAGTGGTGTGTGTGCACAGTGAGACTTCCTATCTTTGTGTGTTTTTATCAAAAGCAGCTGGTTGCAATATAGCTGTATTCACATGGTTTCCATTTATTGATTTCTCTGCAAAAAGCCAAATAATTACTCAAACAACCAGCTCAGCAGTTTAGCTCCATGTTTACATCAACAGTTGCATGAGAAGTAAGAAAGACTGAGAATTACTGCCTGACCCTGATCAATTTAGTTTGGGAACCCCTGGAGGTGTGTAAAAGGTGTGCAGTGTGGTGCTTAGGGACATGGTTTAGCACCAGGCTTGACAGACTTTGATTGATGGTTGATCTTAAAGGTCTTTTCCAACCAAAATTATTCTAAGACTCCTCTTAATACTGATGGACCAAACTGGAATCTCCACATTTCTCCTTTGCACTCTGACAGACTGGGAGCATTTTGTTGGGACTATAATTCATGGCTTGTTTGCTGCTGGCAGAAATCACCAACTTCAAAGAGCTGGGGAGACGACAGATAAAAAGCATATACCTGTGTTTGTTTGCTTGTATGTATGTGTTAATCATGAATCTCACCTTATCTATATTTCATGGCTACAGCTTTGGGAGCCCACAGATGCTGTATTGCTTTAACAACAATATATAGCAATAGCCCTGTGGTGTTCACAGAGCCATGACGATTCCTGTCCTGCCCTCCATCAGGAGACACCTTTAGACCAAGAGGACAATATGAATTGTAGGCAAATAGCAAAACTATTCCAGTGTGGTTTCTTTACTGGTACCTGACGTGGCCTGGAGTACGTTTCAGTGCTCCAGCTGTCCTGCTGCTGTATTGCAGCATTGTTGTAGTTAGAAATTGCCCAGTATCGCCTCATTCCTCCTCAGACTCCCCACGAACTTTTGGCCCTCTCAAGCTGCCCAGGCCTTGGCTATCAATGCACGGTAACAGCAGTGTGCACAGGTTTTCACTGGCAGTTTAAAGTGAAGAAATTTGACAGTGAACTGTAGCAGCCATGCTAGTGGCACATCCCATGCTGTGTGCTGCTACGGGCTTCAGGATTTCTGACAAGAAGTCTGGCTGAAAAGCTGTTGAAATAATGCTTGAAACTGCCCCGGAAAGATTACTGTATCTGCCAGAGTCCTAACTGGATCCTGCAGCCATTGCTGAGACGAGATGTGCTGTTGAAGACGACCTAGCAGTGGAATCTGCCTCAACAGGAGCTGCTTTGCCCATTGAAATTTTATCTACTTTAAACACTGTGGTGTTTTTTTTTAAGATGAAGACACGTCGCAGAGCTCTCTCGCACGGTGGGCGACGCAGTTCATCCAGAAGATTATTTGATGGGCGAACACCAGGAGGCCAAATATCAACATTTCAATCGATGGTAATCAATCAATCAATCAATCAATCAATCAATCAATCAATCAATCAAATGCATTTGTTTCAAACAGATCTGACATCACGCTCAAGTTACCTCCACTTCCCAAAAAACGCATCTCGTTGGTAACAAGTTTCCCGGCTCCCTCGTTGCAGGGGAAGCCCTGGGGCACCAGCCCAGGAGCCTCCAACCCGGCCCGGCCCCGCACGGCCTGCCCCGGGAGC